CCCCATTTAGGTTCTTAATACACTTCCTAAGGAGTAAGTAAGGAGGGACGTGGGTAGCACTGTGGTCTAAACCACTGAGCCTCTTGGGCTTGCCAATCAGAAGGTTGGTGGTTTGAATCCCTGCGATGGGTGAGCTCCTGTTGCTCGGTCCCTGCTCCTGCCAACCTAGCTGTTTGAAAGCACGCCAAAAAGTGCAAGTAGATAAATAGGTACTGCTCTGGCGGGAAGGTAAACAGCGTTTCTGTGTGCTGTTGTGGTTTTGGTGTTGCGTTGCGCCAGAAGCGGCATAGTCATGCTGGCCACATGACCCGGAAAAACTGTCTGCGGACAAACTCCAGCTCCCTTGGCCTGTAAAGCGAGATGAGCGTCGCAACCCCAGAGTTGTCTGCGACTGGACTTAACTGTCAGGGGTCCTTTACCTTTACCTTTAAGGAGTAAGTGCCTTTGGACATAATGTGACTTACTTACATTCATAGGGAGTGTGCTGGTCATCTATTAAGCAGTATTTGTGTTGAGCAGTCAGAAGCATTTTTTCAGGGGGTGGGTGGGCGAAATGGAACATTTTAATCAAGAAACACAGAGAGGGATTCATAAAATGGTGGCCATTCCTGGCTTGGCATGCTGTAGTGATGATAAAATGCAGAAGGAAAAAAGCTGTGAGGTTTAGGATTTTATTAGAAAGACTCAGCTGACCAATCCATTCATAATTTGGATTTATCTCTGCTGTGAAGACAGCCTGGCCAAGATATTCACTGAAGCCAGTGGCTGACAGTTTGACATAGTAGTGCATATTCCTGCCATTCAGATATGGAGCTATCTGCCTTGTAATTGTGTCAGAGTATGAACTTGGCAAAGACTTTGGAAATAGGCACATTCTGTCTGATGTATACCATATATCTTCATATCACTTGTATAAATAAATTGGTACAATAATCAAAATGTATAGGGGTTTTTTCACCCACCAGCTTCCCCCCTCTTCCGCCCCCATTGAAACATTCTGGTAGAAAAGCATAGAAAGAATATCGGTTTTTAAAAGGGCATTTTCCTTTAAACCTTTAGGGACAGCTATACTGTCTCAAGCATTTGTCATGTCATTTTACAGTATGTCATATGGTTGGGCATTTAACGTCCCATGAGCCAGTACAATTCATCTCTAATGACATAATGCAGTGTTGCAGAGTTGAGATTTAGTGCAACATGCTGGCTTAAAACTAATCACCAATAAATTAGGCCACCTTTCTGAGTTATTCTTCTGACATGGTTGCATGTAAAATGCAGCTTTTACTTCAAGAAATTTAGCTCAGCTCTTTGCTGATTATTGGATATAGTACTATGATAGAGTCAAGAAGAATTTCAGTTTGCAAATGCTTTGCATGGCTCAAAGCTGGGGTGTATAAATAGAGTGTGCAATGTGTGTGTGTTGTGGGGGGGAAAGCCCTATAGGGCACAACTGTCAGATGTACTATCGCTGCCATGTCACTAATGTAGCCATGCAAAGCAATTGCCCAGAAGCATATCGCTGCCTCTGTATGCTGCTGAAGAATTTTATGTTGTGCTGTACAAGTCAGTGACAGAAGATATGAAGGTCAGAAAAGAACAACTCGGGCTCTCTAACAATCCCATACATAACACAGTTGACTAACTTCTTGTTGGCAAGACTAGAATGAGCATATTTGGAAGGCAATAATACACGCCATATATAACAACGACGAGCCCCCGCAATCCCACTTGCAGAAAGACATGCTATTTACAACACGGATAAATCAAAATTAATGTTGGTTTATTTGTAACATGGAATCCTACACTGACAAACCCAAAGGGCTCTCATATTGGTTTTAATCTTTGAAAATGAACACACAAACACACTATATTTATATATACTATTATTAATTAACCAATATAAATGATCAAGATTGAAGCCAATGGCACTGAACAACTCTGAAAAGGGAGGCACTTAGTCACTACTCAAAACAAAGCTTGTTGTATTTCTTTGTTGCACAAACCCTGGCGTACTGCACCTCCAGAGATTTAGAGTGGTATTCTAGCCTGTGAGGTAGCTATGGTTTATAATTAGCCAAAGCATTTTTTGCCATCTGTGCTTCCATTTCCGGTCATTTTTAGTTTTTAATTGCCAGTCAGCTTCACCTTGTTCTTCACTGCCTAAGGAACTCTGAGCTGGCCAAGCCAAGCCAAATCAAACCTGCCTGTTTTCCTTCATCATGTGGCTTACATGCAATGGCTACAGTTTGGAGCTGCAGCTATTTTAAATTTAGCGCTGCTTTCCCCTGTTCAGGATGCTCAGCTTAAGTGCAATGCAAACAGAACTTAGTAAATTCTATTGCCAGTCACCTGTTCAACAGTGTTAAATACCGACTGCTACTGCATGTCAGCTGTCGAAATACTATCAAATGTTAGTTATATGTCAGATACTATTAAACATCAGATACCGTCAAATACTGATTGCTACATGTCACATATTGTTAAGTACTTAAAGCTATGGTATGCCCGCTGTCCAATACAGTTAAGTAAATATGAAGTGTTACTGAAAAATCTTCAAATGTTAATGCTGAATGTAAAACATTTTCTGAAGTGTTCTACTCCAGAGAATAACACCAAAGGGTCCTATAGCACATTAGACAAACACATTTAAGCTTTAATGCACCACAGCCCACTTCGCTAGGTGCAAGAAGTGTTAGTTGCAAGTATATACACATACTGAGAAGACTTCCATGTATCTTATGAAGTGAACTGTAGTTCACAAATGCTTATGCCATAAAAGAATTGTTAGTCTTTAAGATATCACAAGACCCTTTATTGAAGTTTTCTGCTAGACATTAGTCTTTTGAAAGAGGTTTCTTGACAGCATCAGTTTTGTTCTTCAGAACCCTAAACATTCTGGGTTCAGGATTCCTTATGAGACTTCTATATGGACATTCATCTGTTCTCAAATCATATCTGCACTGAATACTTCCCTTCCTGAATTTATAGTTGTGGATAGGGAATTGACTATTATTATTTTTTTTGTGTGCACTCATTATGGAACTCCCCCCTGAGGTTCACTCTCTGTTGGCTTTCTAAATGCTGGAGGACCCTTTTTATTCCAGGAGGTCTTTGTGGTAATAATTCATTATTCATTATACTCTTCTGTTGCCAATTTTAGTGTAGTTCTTATTCAGTTGATTTATTTTAAAGTTGCTTTTACTTCCCCACCCCCAGTTTATTTCAAGACTAGGCTAAGTGCCTCTTTGGGTCAACAGATAGGAAGTGCTGCATAAATTTATTTACTACAATACTAAATTTTTTTAAAAAAAACAACCTGTGTTTTGTTTCAAAGCACTCTGAAAATGTGGTGGGACAGAAATGAAAACAACATTTTAAAACCCATGATGTTATGATTTGTGGGTGGCCAGGTTCTCCTAAATTCCTGGGTGCCAGATTCCCCCCCCAATAATTCCTGGATTTAATAAAAGTTTGAATAAATCAAGGTTTGATTAAACTTTGCCGAACACAGAAACCCCATAGATCTAGTTATGCTAATGAGCCGCACCAGCTAGCTAGAGCTGGCTGGCCTGGCTTTTAGCAGGGGACAAAAGCTGGTGATGGCCCATCAAGGAAACCATCTGAGGGCAAGACTACCTGACAAAAAGGAATGGGGGCCCTTCTTTGCTGGGTGCTAGTGGGCAGAGCCAAAGGCCTGGTTTAGCGTTTCAACTTTGGATGAGTAAGCTGGAGGGAGGTCCTGAGAGTAGGTTAGCAGCGAAAAGGAGAAGTGGGGCAGAACTCCATGTGAGCTAGAGATGACAGGCTAGAACTAAGAGACACAGAGGATGACTTGTTGATGTCCTGTGAATCCAATGCCATCCTTTAGGGAGAAGACAGACCCGCAAAGGTTATGAATGCTCTGCAATCCCTCCGTCTAGTTTCAAGTTGTGTAAATGAAACCATATATCATAAAGACATTACAGTCTCCGCTATGCCTGATTTCTGAAGGAAATATGAACCCTAGGTAAGTGCCTAGAACCCCTGAAATCTCACACCACTCGGAAATGGGGGGATGTGGAACACTGGTGTCAGAAGTGGGGTCTGTGTTGCCTAGCAGAAAAAACCTGTGGGCAAAAGGTGCCTGAAGTCTGAGATGGAGTGATTGCAGAGCATTCACATCCTATGAGGGTCTTTACATGCCACCCCTTGATGGTTTCTTTGAAGGGCCTTGAACTGGCCTTTGTCCCCTGCCAATGGCCCATCCAGCTAGCTTGGCCAAGCTGGCTTGGTTTGTTAGCATAACTAAATCCAGGGGGTTTCTGTGTTTGGCAAAGTTTAATCAAACCTTGATTAATTCAAACTTTTACCGAATCCAGGAACTATGGGCAGGAGCTGGCACCCTCAAACCAATAACAACATATCACCTTAGCATTTTTAAAGGAAGAAATAGAAATTGTGCTAGTTATCACCTACCTATTGTCTCAGAAAAGGTCCTGTGCAGGAGGAGGCTTCTAGACAAACTGCTCCTGTGCAAGCAACCCAAATGTGAAAATAAATGCAGTTGAGCTGGAGCCAAAAGGGGGTGGGACCACCGAGTGGTAGCAAATTTCTAGGCTCCTCCCACTGAGATGAGGCAGGCAAAGAGGTAAGTAAGGATCCCTTAGATAAATGTGCAAAGGTGTTTTGGAGTCTGGTAGAATGTGACAGTCTGATAAATGTCTCCTATCTGGATTCAGGAGGAGGAATTGCATCACAGTGAACTGTCATCTGGAGCTATTTTCTTAGGCCTATCATTAGGCATGCTGCCTGGGGTTTGCTTCCCAGGTTATAAATTCTGCTCAAAGGAGCAAAACAGACATTTTAAGAAGGTACATTTCCTATGATTACTAAGCATTAATTAAGGTGTAAGGAAAAAGATAAGCATTTAAGGAGATGGGATTTCCAAGGTGTAATTTATTATGATGAAGAAACATTGCAAGAATCCCAAATATAATCAAGAAAACCAACAGTAAGATTATCCCAGCAGGCTTAGCGTGGTTGCTAAGCAACGTTTCACGTTAGCTCCAAGTTGTCTGTGCTGTGACATGACTGAGAAAGACAGGGTAGCTACTGCTTCTGAAACCAAAACAAAAAAATAGTCTTTGGCCGCACATACATGTTAGCTGAGAATAAATCACAGCAAAAGTCAAATGAATTCTGACAAGAGTGTGGGGTTGATTTTGCTTTCAGACACTGCAGAGTCACCAAGGGTGAGAAGCTCGCTATCTAATCAACACAGTCCTAACTGCACAGATATTTCGCATCAGTGTTATGATACTGCAATTTCAGTGTAGTGACAGTTCAAGATCCTGCTCTTCAAAACGATGAAGCGAGAACAGTAGTAGCAGCAGTAGCAACAACAACAAATGCCTTTGTTGTTGTTCCACCCTTATTTCAAGGAGATAAGGGTACCAGAAATGGTCCCCCTTCCCATTATTATTGTCAAATCCACCCTGTGAGGTTGGCTGAGGTACCCACTTTACCTGGTTGTCTTTCCTTTCTCTTTTGAAACATATTTATATTTCCCAATGTATCTACAAGAAAAACCGAGGGAAATACTTTGTATAAATTTGAGTAGCAAAAAATTACAGACAACTGAACATGTAGCATAATTAACTAGCAAGTCTCTGGCCAAAGAGTGGGACTTGGAATGAACATGTGGCCCATGACTGGATCCTTCTTTGAGCAGGAGATATCATTGTTCTTTGCTGACCTTGAAAAAGTTTTTTTAAAGGTAGTGACTAGAGATAGTGGATAAATTTGATTCCATTTGTATTCAAAGCTGAATTTATCAAATTTGTGCCTCCCAAAGAAATGTGAGGAAGCAAATAATATTTACAAATATGCATATATTAGGGTATATGTGCCTATAAATGAATATATTAGTGAAAACAACGTACAAAATCCATTATTTCCTTTGAAATTGCTTGTAAAAATGGGTACATTGGTCAAAACTGTATACTAGGAGAAATTTACACAGAAATGCTGAATAATTTTCTTAATTTTGAAGAATTTTTCTAAAGGATATTTTTAAAAACAAACAAACAGTGCTTCAGAAATGTGGAGAACTGAATTTAAGATTGGAAAAATCTGAAATCGAGAGAACTGAAAGTGACAGATCACTCCCCATGCCAGTATCACTAGGAAAGGTTTTTGGGGCATTTGCGACATCTACCACATTTTCTCCTATTCCAGCTCCAATTCCTGTTTTCATAACCTCTTTGTGTTTCATTCATCTAGATATGTGTGCGCATGAATGCCTTCATTCATGATTAGCTCATATGTAAAACAACAACAACAAATCTGCCATTTCTTCCCACAGCCAGATTGTGTGGCTATACTATACAATGTATGCCTAAGTATATTAAACTGGTGCATGTATTTTAAGAAATCACTTTGGTCCAACTGGCCCTGTCTCTTTAGATTACTGCTCTGGGGAAATTGTGGTTTACCGGCGTTATTCCCCATGGCAATAATTCCGTCTTGCCCAGGGCCTTTCTAAATATGTGGGTAGGTCAGTCAGAGGGGAGGGCCTTTTGAATTAGCTCAGCCCGTCATGTCAGTTGCTGGGCAGAGGCCATGGGACTATTGTAGTGCATATTTATTTTTATTTTATTCTTTGCATGCCTGAGGAAGTTCAAGTTCTGGCATCTTCATATAAAGTGTTCTCAGATAGTAGGGTTCAAAATAGGCCTTGCTTGGGGCCCTGAAGAGTTGCTTCCATCCAGTCAGAGCATTTATTAAGCCTTGCAGACCAGTGATCCTATAGCATAAGACAGCTTCACACCTTCAACTATTTAGTAGGTGCCAACAGATGGGAAAGAAGGGAAGAGATTGGTAACTTGTCTGTAAATGTCACGAGACTCTGTGAACTCTATACAGTTAAAGCACATGACTGTTGTTGTTGTTTAGTCATTTAGTCGTGTCCGACCCTTCGTGACCCCATGGACCAGAGCACGCCAGGCACTCCTGTCTTCCACTGCCTTGCCCAGTTTAGTCAAACTCATGTTGGTTGCTTCGAGAACACTGTCCAACCATCTCGTCCTCTGTCGTCCCCTTCTCCTTGTGCCTTCCATCTTTCCCAACATCAGGATCTTTTCCAGGGAGTCTTCTCTTCTCATGAGGTGGCCAAAGTATTGGAGCCTCAGCTTCAGGATCTGTCCTTCCAGTGAGCACTCAGGGCTGATTTCCTTCAGAATGGATAGGTTTGATCTTTTTGCAGTCCATGGGACTCTCAAGAGTCTCCTCCAGCACCATAATTCAAAAGCATCAATTCTTCGTCGTTCAGCCTTCTTTATGGTCCAGCTCTCACTTCCATTCATCACTGCTGGGAAAACCATAGCTTTAACTATACGGACCTTTGTTGGCAAAGTGATGTTTCTGCTTTTTAAGATGCTGTCTAGGTTTGTCATTGCTTTTCTCCCAAGATGCAGGCGTCTTTTAATTTCGTGACTGCTGTCACCATCTGCAGTGAACATGGAGCCCAAGAAAGTAAAATCTCTCACTGCCTCCATTTCTTCCCCTTCTATTTGCCAGGAGGTGATGGGCCCAGTGGCCATGATCTTCGTTTTTTTGATGCTGAGCTTCAGACCATATTTTGTGCTCTCCTCTTTTACCCTCATTAAAAGGTTCTTTAATTCCTCCTCACTTTCTGCAATCAAGGTTGTGTCATCTGCATATCTGAGGTTGTTGATATTTCTTCTGGCAATCTTAATTCCGGTTTGGGATTCATCCAGCCGAACCTTTCGCATGATGAATTCTGCATATAAGTTAAATAAGCAGAGAGACAATATACAGCCTTGTCGTACTCCTTTCCCAATTTTGTACCAATCAGTTGTTCCATATCCAGTTCTAACTGTAGCTTCTTGTCCCACATAGAGATTTCTCAGGAGACAGATGAGGTGATCAGGCACTCCCATTTCTTTAAAAACTTGCCGTAGTTTGCTGTGGTCGACACAGTCAAAGGCTTTTGCATAGTCAATGAAGCAGAAGTAGATGTCTTTCTGGAACTCTCTAGCTTTCTCCATAATCCAGCACATGTTTGCAATTTGGTCTCTGGTTCCTCTGCCCCTTTGAAATCCAGCTTGCACTTCTGGGAGTTCTCGGTCCACATACTGCTTAAGACTGCCTTGTAGAATTTTAAGCATAACCTTACTAGCATGTGAAATGAGTGCAATTGTGTGGTAGTTGGAGCATTCTTTGGCACTGCCCTTCTTTGGGATTGGGATGTAGACTGATCTTCTCCAATCCTCTGGCCACTGCTGAGTTTTCCAAACTTGCTGGCATGTTGAGTGTAGCACCTTAACAGCATCATCTTTTAAAATTTTAAATAGTTCAGCTGGAATATCATCACTTCCACTGGCCTTGTTATTAGCAATGCTTTCTAAGGCCCATTTGACTTCACGCTCCAGGATGTCTGGCTCAAGGTCAGCAACCACACTACCTGGGGTGTACGAGCCATCCATATCTTTCTGGTATAATTCCTCTGTGTATTCTTGCCAGCTCTTCTTGATGTCTTCTGCTTCTGTTAGGTCCTTTCCACTTTTGTCTTTTATTATGGTAATCTTTGTACGAAATGTTCCTTTCATATCTCCAATTTTCTTGAACAGATCTCTGGTTTTTCCCATTCTGTTGTTTTCCTCTATTTCTTTGCATTGCTCGTTTAAGAAGGCCTTCTTGTATCTCCTTGCTATTTTTTTGAAATCTGCATTCAGTTTCTTGTATCTTTCATGATCTCCCTCACATTTTGCTTGCTTTCTCCCCCCGCTATTTGTAAGGCCTCATTGGACAGCCACTTTGCTTTCTTGCATTTCCTTTTCTTTGGAATGGTTTTCGTTGCTGCCTCCTGTATAATGTTACGAGCCTCCATCTATAGTTCTTCAGGCACTCTGTCCACCAAATCTAAATCCTTAAACCTGTTCCTCACTTCCACTGTGTATTCATAAGGGATTTGATTTAGATTGTATCTTACCGGCCCAGTGGTTTTTCCTACTTTCTTCTGTTTAAGCTTGAATTTTGCTATAAGAAGCTGATGTTCTGAGCCACAGTCAGCTCCAGGTCTTGTTTTTGCTGACTGTATAGAGCTTCTCCATCTTTGGCTGCAGAAAATATAATTAATCTGATTTCGATGCTGCCCATCTGGTGATGTCCATGTGTAGAGTCGTCTCTTGTGTTGTTGAAAAAGAGTGTTTGTGATTACCAGCTTGTTCTCTTGGCAGAACTCTTATTAGCCTTTGCCCTGCTTCGTTTTGAACTCCAAGGCCAAACTTGCCAGTTGTTCCTTTTATCTCTTGATTCCCTACTTTAGCATTCCAATCCCCTATAATGAGAAGAACATCCTTCATTGGTGTCATTTCTATAAGGTGTTTTAAGTCTTCATAGAATTGGTCAATTTCAGTTTCTTCAGCACCAGTAGTTGGTGCATAAACTTGGATTACACCCCCCAAATCATCCTGGGAACTGTAGTTTATTAAGTGTGCTGGGAATTGTAGCTCTACGGTGACAGTTGCCAGTAAGCAGTGTGGTATAGTAGTTAAGAGTGGTGGACTCGAAATCTGGTGAACCGGGTTTGCTTCCCTGCTCCTCCTCATGCATCTGCTGGGTGACCTTGGGCTAGTCACACTTCTCTGAAGTTTCTCAGTCTCACTCACCTCACAGAGTGTTTGTTGTGAGGGAAGAAGGGAAAGGAGGTTGTTAGCCACTTTGAGACTGCTTCGGGTAGTGATAAAACGGGATGTCAAATCCAAACTCTTCTTCTTCTTCCCAGGGGAGAGCCAGGCACCGTTAATGCATGGTGTATACAGAGCCAAAGGCACTCAGGTTTGAACACTTAGAAAGCCTTGTATGTTGCCCCACCCATAACATTTCTTAGGAGCAAGGGATACTGGAAAGAAGGGCTTTGGAGTGGGATCATAGGTCAGGGGCAGAGTGCATACATTGCATTCAGAAAGCTACAGGCTGTATTCCCAGGCATATCCATTTAATAGAAGAATCAAGTAGCATGGGGTAGCTAACATCAGATCTGAGGGCCTATCTGCCCCTAAGCCATTTTTTCCCCTGGCCTTCTAAGACCCCTCCTTGAGGCAAGGAGCTAGGAGTAGTGCTAATTTTTATCCATTATATATTCTCACCTGGTTCTGCTGACAAGAAAATATTTCCTTGCTGCCCCAAATTTCCATATATGATTTGTTAAATTGACTTTGTACTTAATCCCAAACAAGTAGCATGAAATGATCACTTTAAACAACTGCTCCCGCTCTGAAAAAAAGAAAACTTTGAAGCAATATTTTTAAACAGATTATTATTATTTTTTTGAAATGATCACTTTTGTGCTCTTTGTCCCGAAGGATCCTTAGTGGTTATGTAGTATTACATAAATTTTCTCCTGATTAAAAATGTAAATTGACTAAATGCCTAAAAGCCCAGTGAAAAGGCTTCTAACATTTCCCCCTCTTCCTGCCTTCCAGTTTCCTTTTTTATCTCTTCAGAATAAAGAGCTGATTATAATTACAGTGGATACTGAAATGTAGGCTCAATTTTTAAAAATTTAATTGAAGTCTGAAATGGGTTTTCTCCATTTTTATGTGTGTGAATTGTTCTATAGCATGTGGTTGGTTTTTTTTTAATGTACTGAATATATTTGTATATAAATCTACATAATTTTAGGGAGGGAGATTGAATGAGAGTGAATGCTAATAATACCTAAGTAGATAAGGGAGAAGATCCTTTGAGATTCTGTCCCTAATTCCATTCTGCAGAATCACTTCACAGATCCAGATAAGTAGCCTCCTTGGTCTATAGCAGCAAAAAGACAAATGGGAAATGTGTTGGCTCTCAGGGTGGTAGCTTTCCACTAGTCTTGTTATGTGTATTGCTTGTGTTAACTGGTTGTGTTGCTAAAGGGTGCTTAGCTGAATTTCAAAAGCAGCAGTAATCCGGTTTCTTCTTTACCCTGAAAGCATAGCATATGACCACAGCCATTAAGATCACAGCTGGTTTACTATTGTGCTTTCAAGTATTTATGAATATAAAATCTCCCCTTTCCTTCTCCCCCCTCTCCATTTCTGATTTATTGTTATTTTTGAGGGGAAAATAACAGCAGTGTGACTACCAACTTGTATTGCTATAAAAGTGGTTTGAACATATTAATGGAGGATAAGGCTATCAATTGCAACAACAACAACAACATATTTATACCCCACCCATCTGGCTGGGTTTCTCCAGCTACTCTGGGCAGCTACCAACAGAATATTATATACATGATAAAACATTAAGAAGCATTTAAAACTTCCCTAAACAGGGCTGCCTTCAAATGTCTTCTGAAAGTCAGATAGTTGTTTATTTCCTTGACATCTGATGGGAGGGAGTTCCACAGGGCAGACATCACTACCGAGAAGACATTCTGCCTGGTTCCCCGTAACCTCACTTCTCGCAGGGAGGGTACCGCCAGAAAGCCCTCAGCGCTGGATCTCAGTGTCCAGGCAGAATAATGGGGGTGGAGACACTCCTTCAGGTACTGGGTCGAGGCCATTTAGGGCTTTAAAGGTCAGCACCAACACTTTGAATTGTGCTCAGAAACGTACTGGGAGCCAATGTAGGTCTTTAAAGACCGGTGTTATGTGGTCTCAGCGGCCACTCCCAGTCACCAGTCTAGCTGCCGCATTCTGGATTACTTGTAGTTTCCGGGTCACCTTCAAACTTAGCCCCAAGCAGAATGCATTGCAGTAGTCCAAGCAGGAGATAACTAGAGCATGCACCACTCTAGTGAGACAGTCTGTGGGCAGGTAGGGTCTCAGCCTGCGTACCAGATGGAGCTGGTAGACAGCTGCCCTGCACACAGAATTGACCTGCGCCTCCATGGACAGCTGTGAGTCCAAAATGACTCCCAGGCTGCGCACCTGGTCATTCAGGTGCACAGTTACCCCATTCAGGACCAGGGAGTCCTCCACACCTGCCTGCTCCCTGTCCCCCCCAAACCGTACTTCTATCTTGTCAGGATTCAACCTCAATCTGTTAGCTGCCATCCATCCTACAACCGCCTCCAGACACTCACACAGGACATTCCCTGCCTTCACCAGTTCTGATTTAAAAGAGAGGTAGAGTTGGGTATCGTCTGCATACTGATGAACTCATGTTTTGACGGTGGGCTTCTCATCAACATCTGCTTGGCTGCTGTGCAAACAGGATGCTAAACTAGATGGATCTGATACAGGACGCTTATAGCATCGGCTCCAGGTTTTGATGGGCAAGATGCCCTTAGTGAACCCCTCTCCTCTGCCCTGCAATTGCCCACTCCCTCACCCATTACCTGTGGGTTTATCTGTGTCTGACTTAGTTAGTGTGTTAGTGAATGGGCTGGCAAATCATAGATGCTTTAAAATATACGCTCATCACATTGGAATGTGTAGGATTTCACAACTTCAGGCAGTGTTTGAATGAGCATGTCACGTTTCAGTTGAGCACAATGGTAATTGGTGCTTCTGTTCAGCTGTCAGACAAATGGTTGCCTTAGAATACAAGAATCCTTCATGCCTCAGGCAAATATAGATTATTTGTACCTAAAGAGAGGCTGAGCAAACAGAGGAATACTAAGTGGCAGCACTTCTGTTCTCTTTAGTTCTTGTTCTGTTCTGACCTTAAGAAACAATGTAGGCTGCAATCCTATACTGTACTTACCTGGGAATAAGTCCCTTTGAACTCAATGAAACTTACTTCTGAGTAGGCATGCGATTCTGGCAACTCAGTATACTTTGTATAATGCCAAATGTGACCAACCTTCCAATTAAGTAAGATTCAACAATAAAAAGTTGGCCCCTAATGCTTTGTTAAAAACTAAGAACTTAGTTAAAAACTAATTTCTAAATCTTATATTTAGAATTATTAATGTTCTCCAGATTCACACACATGTAGATGCTAGATTCACATATGTAGATGCTAGAGATGTAAAATTTCTGGAAATTTTGATGCCACAGGGGGGAAAGTTTTTGTTCTGGCTTTTTTTTGGGTGTGTGTGTGGGGGGTGACATATGTTTTCAGAAAAATTGGAAAAAGTAAGAAGTTTTTTAAAATTACTCTTAAATATCAAAAGTCACTTTGTTATTTTGGAACATAAAACGCATTATATGCAGGAGGGATAAACTTGGCAGAATCCCACACTGCATTCCTTGGCCAAATACCTGAAGATTTCCCGTACTCATTCACATTTGAAAGTACCTTTCCAACATTTAGCCCTGTCTGTTTTGTAATCCAGTCAAATGCGGAAGCAGTTCTATCATCACTTACCTTTCTGCTTCTGAATCTTGGACCCAACATATCTGCAGCAGCATGAAATAGATGTCAACAAAATGACGTTATTCCCAAGTTCTTTGAGGTCTAGCCAAGAGGAAAGAAACAGCCACCAACTACTACACCAACAAGAAGTAGGCTGCAAGCAAAGAAGGCACTGAATCCTTCTTCCTTCTCTTGTGACAATGGCAATGCCCTCCAAGAATCAAAAATTAATCTTGCTCTTGCATTTGAGAGTTGTATGCTCAGTAGACCATGGGTCGGCAAACTAAGGCCTGTGGGCCGGATCAGCCCCAATTGCCTTCTGGATCCAGCCCATGGACAGTCTGGGAATCGCTGCGTGGATCGCCAGCACACGTGTTCTTTCCCTCTCCCTCCCTCTCCCTCACAGGGCGGCGGCGCCTCCTCCCTCCCTCTTCCTGGCTTCTCCCCGCCCTGCCTAGAAGAGGAAGGGGGCTGGGCTTTGTTGGTGCCAGCAGCAGCAGGGCTCAAGCAGCTGCCATTTTAAGCAGCCCCTCTCCAGAGCCCTTTCACGTGCTGCTCATCGTCCCTCCGCTGCCACTGCCACTGCCGCTGCCACCACAAGACACAAGTAAGCAGCCACTGGGGCTCGTGAGTGCTCTTGCATCTTTTTTTCTCTTTTTCAAAATATAGTCTGCCCCCCCCCAAGATCTGAGGGACAGTGGACCAGCCCCCTGCTGAAAAAGTTTGCTGACCCCTGCAGTAGACAACTCAAGACTTGCTTGTCCTCAATGTACAGGAATTTTACTATACATAGTCTTCCTGATACACAGTTTTAGAAATCATTTGAGGGAGTAAATGTATGAACAACTTGGTAGAAATTCAGCATGTTGGCTTGCCAGATGGAACAATCCCTCCTCTCCTTCCTCACACATTGTTCCAGGGCCCTTCTAGATCAGTGTCCTGTTCTTACACTGACCAACCAGATGCCTATGGAAAGCCCCAAAGCAAGACACCAGTGCAATAGCACGCTGCCCTCCAGCAATTTCCCACAACTGCTATGCAGAAGCATACTGTCTCCAACAGTGGACGTGGAACATAGCCTTTGGGGTTAGTAGCAACTGATAACCTTATCCTGCATGAATTTGTCTAATCTTCTTTTAAAGCCATCCAAGGTGGTAGCCATCCCTTGCCCTTGTGGGAGCAAATTCCATAGTGTGAAGAAGTACTTTCTTTTGTCTGCCCCAAATCTTCCAACGCTCATCTTCTTTGGGTGTCCATGAACTCTAATTACGACATCAAATACTGATCACTCACATTTGCTGGACTTATTTCTGTTTATGGACATGGTATAAGGAAACATCAGCATTTTCTGCTTCTGTTTCTTTGGGAATTCACCAACATCCAGACAAGTCACCCAAAGCTACATATCATGTTACTCTGGCAGATTAATGCTGATCAAGGGATTAAATCCAGGCTTGTGGATTTAGTTTTAAAATAGGTCCATGCTTTGGCGGAGAAGTCTGAGCATGAACAGTGGCTACACTTCCCAGAGCTTCTGAGTTCTCTCTCATTGCTACCTTTTTGCAATTATTTTGCCTCTCTTTCTGAACAGAAGGAAATTAACTGGCACGTCTTCTGATAGACACAAAAGAGGCAGGGCAACTCAGCCAAAGTTGAAATGCATCTTTTGCCCAGAATGGAGTTTTGTGGCTTGTATTTTACTTCAATTTCAGACTCAAAATCTATCATGTAGAGAAACAGCTGAGAAACACTGTCCTGTTCCTCAAAGAGACTCAGTGAAAGTAGGTTATTGCACCAGAATGAGAAAAACTACAGAACAGGGCTCTTTAGCATATAATCTCTTCATTGTAGGAAGAAAGTCAGTATTAAAAAAGCCTGTGTCCTTGCTGCCTCAATAGAAATAATCATACCTTTGCCAGTCAGTAGACTCATTAGTTTCTAATCAGAATCACTTTTTATTCAAGGTTATAGTACAAATATCCCTCCAGGGCACTTCAGTGCTGGAAATCTTAGCAATCTGGAAATCTTGTCCTTCATAAATCTTGTGGAATAACAATAATAATAATTTCCCTTAAAACACCTTTCATCAAAATACACACAAACAATAATATGGCTTTGTAGGGTAGAATGATGTTTTCTTCCTGTTGGTCTGACATTAACTGCCAGTCACCTTCACTGGCTAATTACATCCATGTTCTGACCTGCCAGTGAACTATCTATTAGAGCTAATTGTAATCTGAGTCTCTGCAAATGATCTTCTTGGGGCTACTTTGTGTTCTCCTAACAGTCTTCAAGTGCTCTTCACTTTGTAGGGAAATATTGAAACCCGTAAAGAGGTCATGGGCCCCATGGTTCTGACCTGGTAAATGCTTTCAATATTTTTTAAAAATAATAACTCATAAGCATTCCCTTATGTTACACATCATATTACTTTGTAATTGCTATCAGTTATTATTATGGCTTTTTATTATTTTAATAATATTTTTTAAAGACAATAACAACAATAATTAAATTTTAGGGACTTTAAAAAACCTCAAGGGAAGGAATATTTCCAGGGGAAATATTTAAATGTGCAGCTGTTTTTGCTATGAGAACCTTTTCTCCAAAGTGTACCTTTTTCCATTTGACTTATACAACACCCTATTGCAGTGGCTTTTGTTGCCAAGCATATTGTGTAAACAAGCTTTTCAAACCGTTCTGTACCTACTGCCTCTTTGTTTTATCAGGGGCACATTCTGGCTTCCCTACTTTGTAAAAGAAAAGAAAAAAAGATAATTGGCAACTATACAATGGCTTGGATTATACATATCTTATGGAAGCTTTCTTTATCATCATCAAGTTAAGCTAAACCTTCAATAAACAATTTAAACATTCTTAAACATATCAGAGATAGAATACAGTACATATAAACATTGATTTTTAGAACAGTAGACTGTGCTGTTTTTGGTAAACTATTTAAAATGCACACCTAAGGATTCTGCGGACAAATCAGCAATTCCATGCATCCATCCAATCAGAATGGTTCTAGCGATTTGCACTCTAAGCATCTGTTTCCTAGCAACCAGGGAGGCAATCCAAGAACATAGCATTTTACATGCTATTCCCTCTTTGTAATGCTAATCATAGATTTGTATGCACTGCGCTTTTTGTTTTGTTTTGCAGAAGGTTAGAGCGACAAAATAGTGTTGCATGCCACCCCAATCTCCAAGTGGTGCGAGATTCCAGGGGTTCCAAGAGCTAACCCAGGTTTAATGTTACCTTTTGGAAATGAGGCACAGCAGAGACTGTGGTGTCTTTATGAGGTATGGTGTACACACACACACACAACCTGAGCCTATGATGGAGGGTCTTGTTTGCCTATAGCCTTGGATTCAAGCAGAAATCAGCCATGACTCTCTCTGCTTTTCAAGCTTTCAGCTTTTTACAATAGATCACCTCACAGCACATTGCCATCATTCCCTGGCTTTGACCTTGTAACTATCTGAGAGTTGGAGGAGGGGCCCCATCCATTTTTCATCAGGCACAGAGCACCCTGTTTTTTGTTCTTTTAATTGCCCAGGAGGTTACCTCATCAGGAAGCTAGCTTGGCTCAGGGGCGGATTTAGGGCTTTGTGAGTGGTGCACATGAGTAAAGCCCAGTAAACATGAGTAAAGACCAGTAAACGAGTCACAGGGCTTTGGGAAGGAGGTGTGAGGATCCTAGAGTCCTCCTGGCTCCTTCCCAAAGCCTAGTTACTGCTTTCCCAGCTTTAGGAAGGAAGTAGGAGGGCTCTAGGACCCTGCCAGAGCCTTGGGTCTTCTTCCCAAAGCCGGGCACCTCCTTACCCACCTTTGGGAAGGCAGCACGAGGGCTGGGGTTGGGAGCACACCAAATTTTGGCCTTGCACAGGGCACATAACACCAAAGTCCACCACTGCCGGGCTTGATTAGCTTTTAACACTTGCTAGGATTATATGGGTCTCACACCCACAAACTCGTAATAATATATTATAAAACAAGGATGGAAGGCACTTGAAGGTCAGCTGAACTGAGACAGGATACATTCTACTAAAATACATTTCATAAATTAGTGCATGTTGTTTTGGTTATAGGGGTCACACTGTATATTTAAAATGTCAGTGCTTAATGGCATGAGTGCCACTCCATGTGAGGAACTGAACGGATGTTTGACTTTTTATATATTTATTTTATCAACTCTGCTACCTCATCCTACAAGCCATCTTAAGACTGTGACCAGCTGCTTCACCCATTTCTGGAGAACCTGAAAGGTTGCTCACTATTTTGTGACTTTGGGGTTAGTTTGAATAGAAGTATTGCCCATCTCTGGACTTCTGGATTTTTCATATGCGCTGGACAGGGAACTGTTGAGCTGGATCCTGAATTTTCCCACCCCCTGCAGACCAATTTTGACAGGTGGGTGGGACTTGTTACCTGCCAATCAATCACCTGACATCATAATGTTGTCAGGTGACAAACACAGCAACCTCCTTGGAAGATGCATTTTCAGCACCAGTAAGCTTTAAGCTCACCCTATTTGTTCCTTGGTAGCTGTGTCTATACCTGCACTAGAATTGATGTCACAATTGTGTCAGCGGTGAGTCAGGTGGTGATGTGGTTTTAGAGGGTATGACCTTTTGGGCCAAACTGGGACTCATTAGACCCCAAGGCCACGTGGTCCCTACCAGTGTTATGAACTAGTGTAATCTTGTTTGCTTATTGTGTGGTAATTTCTTGAAACTGAATTATATATGACTAGAATTTTCCATTGTTTGTAATGAAACAGATAAGTACTGTATTGGCTGTTTTTCATGTCTGCCACAATGCGAAGTAAAAGCATAAACAAAGTGTTTTTGGTTTTTTTAAAATAACGCCCACGGAATCCTTCAAAATGTTCAGAACATCTCCATTAAGTGGAGAATGAAGCTGGGAGTATGTGGTGAGGAACAGTGAACACCTCTAGTTCTGTACACTGAACCCTTCAGTTCTGGCCTTGCTCACAGGGCACTGGGATAGATGATCCACTGGGCTGACCCTGTGTGGCTGTTCCTACCTTCTAATCTTCCTCACTACAGAGTTAAATAGAAACTGACTGGATGTCAGATCCTATAAGAAACGAAAAGGATGACATTTGTATGCATTTGTGAGATAATAAGCTTTTATGTAAGTCTATCAATGGATAGCCAAATATTTTGCTTCTAGGACTCTTTTGCCACTGAAATTCTTGGTTGTTAGCATAATGAACTGTACATCAAATATAATCTGTAATGTATGAGCAGCGCTTCTTGCTTTATCAAAACCACTTAACCAGAGTTCAGAACCAACACATTTTTATATACATTTTTTAAAAAAGAATATCAGTTGTAAACTTAAAATATTAGATGTCCGTAAAGCTAATTTTTTAAAAAAGATATTTCCTGGGATTGGATCAGAGGGCATTAGATCTAGTTCACAAAGTTATCCAACATGTATGTTGTCTACATTTCTATTTTTAAGCTAAACCTGTGCTATGGAATTTAATGTAGACCTTTGTTCTAAGCAGGTTCTTAAGTTATGCTTTTAGTGCCAGTCTGTTTGTGTAGCTTAATGGCAACAATAATATTCTGTAGAATCACAATTAGAATTTTCGAAGCGATTTTACAAGTCAGCACAGGGACATGCGGCCCTTCAGGTAACCTGGGCCCAAGTTCTTCAGGGCTTCATAAGATCTTGAACATGACCTTATAGCTGATCAGCAGGCAGAGCAGTTCCCTGAGCACAGGTGTAATATGTGCACATCCAGATGCTCAACTCGATAACCTGGCTACAGCATTTTGCAGTAGCTGCTTCTAGATCAATCCGAAATGAACCCCTACATGGAGTGCAATACAGTATTTCATGAGCCAGGAGTCAGCTTTGCCTGCTGAACAGCAACCTGAAGGGGGAGAAGGTGGAGTGACTCCACCTGCAGCTCAGCAGCCTTCAAGGACACAGAAAAGATGCTGATGAGAACCAGCTGGCTTCAGCCTTCTTAAGCAGAGCTTCCAGCAGCAGTGAGATGCTGGTAACAACACTTGCACTTCCTGGTCCTACCTTGCTACTTCCTGCTTGAGCCTTGACTCCATGATCATCAGATTCCCTGACCCCTGGACTCCTTTGGATACTGACCTCAGAGACTCTTCTGGTTGGCTGGCCTCCCACTCCACTGAGCCTTGCATGTTGCTACTCAGCAATGAGACTACGACACAGTAGTCCATTTGTGAGGTTACCAATGCATGAATCACAGTGGCTAAGCTATTACACAGGAAAAGATGTAGTTGATGTACCAACCTAAGCCTCCGGGTACAGAGGTGGGTCTGGGAACACCCCCAAAGTACACACACACAGTTTCTTCAGAAGGAATGAAACCCCACTCAGACTGGTGAACTTCCCAACTTCAGAGTCTGGAGACCGCTCACCCACAAAGTCTGTTCAGGCTTGGTTTGTTGGCCCTCATCCAGTCCTCCAAATATATGTATCTTTTTATTGAAGAACTTCATTACGTAAATTTCAAATGATAACTGTGCCTTGGTTCATGAAGTGCAAGTTAGGTAGGTTTTCATTAAGGCTCAACCTGAACTAAATTTCTCCCCTTTAGTTATCCTGCAAGTGCAATGGGTTGTTCTTAAAGCACAAGTTTGTTCCTTGATTCGTTTTTTTAAAACTCACTTTAAAAATGTAAACCTATATCTGCAGCGGGGGTCCCCTCTTATGGACAAAGTGGGGTGTAGCCCTGCCAGGATTCTTAACTTCCAAAACAGCCAAAGCTGTGTGGTTGGGTCAGTCTTTCTCCTGCGACCCACAAACATATCAATCCATTTTTAGTGGCTGAGATCCTTTCTAGATCTCTGCTTAAAGGTAAAGGGACCCCTGACCATTAGGTCCAGTTGCGACCGACTCTGGGGTTGCGGCGCTCATCTCGCTTTATTGGCCGAGGGAGCCGGCATACAGCTTCCGGGTCATGTGTGACTATGCCGTTTCTGGCGAACCGGAGCAGTGCATGGAAACGCCATTTACCTTCCCTCCAGAGTGGTACCTATTTATCTACTTGCACTTTGACGTGCTTTCAAACTGCTAGGTTGGCAGGAGCAGGGACCGAGCAACGGGAGCTCATCGGGGATTCGAACCGCCGACCTTCTGATTGGCAAGTCCTAAGCTCTGTGGTTTAACCCACAGCGCCACCCATGTCCCAGATCTCTGCTTAGCCAATCATAAAAATCACTAGCAGGACTAAAACAGGAAAGCCCTCAAAAGCAATAAAAGAAAAACGGCAGGGCAGGCCTATGATCGCCCATCCTAAGCCATTGAAAACAACACATTATTTGTTTCTGAGTCTGGTTTCTTTTTTAGGGGTGTGTGTGTATGTATGTTTGTGCATGTAAAAAAGGGAGGGAGGGAGAAGTTTATTCTGTATCTTTTTTTGACCAGAAGGCAAGAGGGTGAGAGAAAAGCTGTATGCAGTTTTCCTTGGTTGAAGGGGTACAAAAGTAACATAATTGTGCTATAAAGCTCCTCTCTGGAAACAACCTTCGTTACATTTGAGTTAGTTTACCAGTACATTACTGATTTCTGCTTTGATGGTGCCACAAATATCAGCAGACAAAATGAAGCTAAAGAAGGAGAAGAAGAAGTTAGACCCAAGTATATATGAAAGCATCCTTTGGAGAAGCAGTTGACTGTAATACAGTACATACATTTTAATTTTTTTAAAAAATAATCTTATCAACAATTGTGGCCATCTTTTGATAGCCAAAATGACTTAGGTCTGCTGACTTTTAATGATTTCCCCCCACTGTTTATCTACATTGACAAGAACAGTCAACAAAAAGACGTGGGAAATTATTACATTTTCCTTATCAAGAATGAAATATCCTTTATTCACAGAAAAGCTTTTTTTAAAGAAAAAACTATTTTTGTTTTAAAATGAAAAAACAAACAAAATTCAGCTCAGCTGTAGAATTTGGTACTGATCCAAGTACTTTAATAAGGCCACAAATCATTTTGACAAATAGCCAGAAATAAAGTAATCTTCTAGAAGACGAGAGACAGACATCATAATATCTGACAATGTCTGCCTAGCGATGCTTCTAAGGTACTGACAGGAGCATCAGGAGAGGAAAAGCAGGCACTTATTTGTCGACTTCAAATGACTTCAAATTCACAAATAATTTCTTTTCTAAGCATGACAAGCTCAAAAATTGCCTATCTTCTTTCCAATATCATTCATCTGGAGAAAACCTGGAAAGTATGAAACGGACATTTCAGATTCTCAGCTTTATATCTTTAGGGGGAGAGAAAAAAAAATAAACTCTGTATTGAAAACAACAAGAGAAGGCAAAGAAGAGACCAAAGTACCCAAAACTAGCAACCTGGTAAAAAAATAATCCTGCATTAATTTAACCATCTCATTATCTGTCAATTAATGAGAAAAGAAATTGCATTCAGACATTATCAAAAGGGGAAGGGTGAATGAGCAACGTTCTCCTGGGTGTGGCGCAGGCCTGCTGACGTGCTTACCTCACTTTCAAAGTGACCAAGAGGTTTTGTTTTTCATCACACAAATCATCACTCCAGTGGTCTGCACTCTGTTTCCTCAAAACCACATGTCCTACACTGGGCTTTACTGTAAGCATGCAAGTTGGTGTAAGCATGATGTGCGTGGCGCTGTGGTCTAAACCACTAAGCCTCTTGGGCTTGCTGATCAGAAGGTCAGTGGTTTGAATCCCCACGACAGAGTGAGCTCCCATTGCTCGGTCCCTGCTCCTGCCAACCTAGCAGTTCGAAAGCACGCCAGTGCAAGTAGATAAATAGGTACTGCTGTGGCAGGATGGTAAACAGCATTTCTGTGCGCTCTGGTTTCTGTCACAGTGTTTCGTTGCTCCAGAAGTGGTTTAGTCATGCTGGCCACATGACCTGGAAAGCTGTCTGTGGACAAATGCTGGCTCCCTTGGCCTGAAAGCAAGATGAGCGGCGCAACCCCATAGTAGTCTTTGACTGAATTTAACCGTCCAGGGGTCCTTTACCTTTACCATGCAAGTTGAGAGATCACTTACTGAGCAGCTGACAGGCTCATTTTGCTTTCTGCTTTTAAATAAATCTTTGCAGAAAGATTTTTTGCAGGTAAAAGGAAGGCCTTTCCTTCAAACAAAATCAGTGAGCACACTTATGTCAGGCAGTTGGTAGACAGCCTCCCAGTTTCCCAGGATTTAACAAAATTCCAGGGAAGATTTCATTAGGTAACTCCTACCATGGGCTTTTCTGGACCAGGAAGCATGGGCAGCAGGGGAGGCTGCAGAGCACTGGAGAAAGATACACACACAGCGGGAGAAAGAAAGAGATTGGTCTCCTTGCAACAGTAAAGTAAGTCAAAACCACTTGTATCCACTGAAATTCTAAATAAACAAACAAAACAACAACAACTCTAAAGCAGCTCACTAATGAGACAGAAAAAATGCAAAACTCTTTCACGAGGGAAGAAAACTTTTGTGAAATGACATGGTATATTTTTGTAGAGTGCTACAAAGAACTGCTCATTCAGCAATGATTTCAGGTCTAATTGAATCTAAATTACCCATGTATGTTTAGGGCCCAAAGATCCACAATCCAAAACCCACAACAAATGGGTGAGGCTACAATCATATGCACATATATGGTGGGAGTAAACCCAACTGAACTGAATAGAGCTTATTTTGCAGTAGAGGAGTATAAGATTGCATGTGATTCCAGCTCCAGGGAAAATGGGATGACAAAGCAGGCCAGCAGGATGAGTGAAATTGACAGCTGGGTTGCCAGACCTCTAGGGCTGACCTGAAGTCTCCTGGTTTGCTTGCCCTCCCCCTTTCCCAGTGGCAGAGGGAGGGTTTGAATCTTCAGATGGGGAAGAGTACTTCTATTTATTTCTTATGGAGACAATGCATGCAGCTTGCAAACTTTGGCCAGCAAAAACTGGATGCATATTGCACAGACTCGGGGAGAGGCGGTTCTTCCCTCTTCCCATCTCTCAGTTAATGTCTCCCAATTAACCTCCTTCTCCAGGGCTCAGTGGTGAGAGGGAGCTCAGTGAAAAATAATCAGGGCCTGCCCCTAGGTGTCAAGTTTGGGTCTTGAAATCTCAGGATCTGGGAGGTTCCTGACCTGGAAACCCTAATCACAGCAAGGTTCAAAGCCCCCCCCCCCCAATATTCAATTGCAAAGCAAAACAACTGTGTATTTTAAGAGAGTTGTGGATTATTTGTTTCTTTGTTTATATCTCACACTAGTTAGGCATGTAAAATCACATCGGTCACATAGGTTGGGGGAAAACCTGTAACTGTATTATGGGGTGCACAAGGGGCACACAGTGGGAGAAGAGGGAGAAACATTTTGTTCTGAGAGTAAACCCCATTCCCTACTTGCAAAGCACTCCATAGCACTCTTAGCAGTATATTGAATTCTACCCATATTTCTCCATAAATTAGATTGACCAAGGCATGCCCTAACACTTTGATCACAATGACTTCTCTTAGAATTAAATGGATTCCAATGAAGTTTTCTTTCACCTAATGCATTTGGAATTAGGTATTATTGATAATTTAACTAGCATTGCTAATAGCTTTAGGATTTGCCTCAGATATACCTGGATAAAAAGGTCTGTGCCTTTATGATGATGATGATGATTTATTAAATTTGTATAATGCCCTATACCCATAGATTTCAGGGCGGTTCCTAAATGTTCATTTTGTATTGTTGTTAAACCTATTTTCAGTTATTTTCTATACTAAAACTACTTTTAGCTGTTTTAATTATGTTTGTAAATCACCTTGACACACACTTAAAAGATGATTCATAGATAAATAAAAATAACAGATAGGAAAGATGTCTTTTGAGAGCCAAAATAAGTTTTCAGTAGCAATGTGCAGTGTTTGCAGAAAAGTTTGTAGAACCTTTGACAAGAACTTTCTCAAAACCCTGCTATTTAGATACCACCCTCGTTTTTTGGGAAATAGAATCTAGTTAACTGAAGAGCATTGGCAAATCAGAGCTCTGCAAAGTAAGAAATTGAAAACTAGAAAATAGATATTGTTGGCTTTTATGCTGTCACCTTAATTTCTGTGGAACAAAATCTAAAAGCTTGTCTAGAATGTGAATGACACGACTGGATGCTGTGGTTCACCAAAAGTAATGCTTTCAATCTTTAAAAAGCATTAACAGTTAATGATTTCTAATTAAAGTTTCTGTAGCAATTACATCGTTGGCTTCTTTTCAGTTATTGAAACAGAATCCCCGTTTCCCTCTTTCATGCGGTTGACATAATTTTGGCACGCAGGTGTAAGGCTGGAACATTGTAACAGAATATTATAGAAGCAGAGAGAGCATTAGTAGTTTACGAAATGACTCACCGTGTAACCTTAAAATATAGTACAACCTGAGATTTATGCAATGAAAATAATTCTTGGTGAAAATAAGCAGTGTCATTTTTCTTTAAAACCATCTCAAAGCAGTTTGTTCAATTTTTTAAAAAAGTCAATTGTAATTTGAAGTCTTATTGATTTGGCATTTACCACACCTGTACACAATACAAAAAGTGGCCTACTGAAGCGCTGCAAATGTTCCTTCTTATGCTTTAGTGGGGGTTTTGTCCCTTTCAAATAGGAGACTTTTTATGCTGTAATACAAGACCAAACACCATGACAGGGAAGGAGTTGGAAGAGTTGTAGACTTTGTTGGTAAGGTTTGTGGCGTTTATCAGTAAGCTAGCAAAGTCCCCACAAAGTATGAGGGACTATATTTATATTCAACTCTTGGCTGCCATTGACTTTGACCTGCCCTGGAAGGGACTCCAGAGCAAACAGGTGGTGGTGGGGAGACAGGTCTAAAATAAGCTACAGATAGGAAAAACATATCCTTTGTGGACTCTTCCCCCCTCCCCGCTACAGAAGAACATACATGATAAATTTTGACCCAGATTTTCTTTTTGTGTCTGTGCCCTCCTCCCAAACTTTTGAAGAATTCTGTCTCTCTCCCCAGAAAATATTCTGTGAAATCTCTCCCACAGTTCCCAATAATCTGAAATTTTCCATATTTCAACTAGCTTTGAGTGGGCTTTGATTCTTATCAAAGTGAAAATAAATGTAAAGCAATGTTTTAGAATTCTAGAAAGTTAAAAGAGGAACAACTTGTACAAAATGAAACTGTAAATATTCTTTAAATCAACCAAAAAGAAAGGGCTTTTAAAAGATACCAAAATAAGGAATGTGGTCATTAGAGCTGGCTACTCTTTATGACTATTTTCTTGCAATTTAAACCCTGCGGGCAAAATTACCATCATCACTCAAAGCACTGAGAATGGTCTTGTGGATAGGATTTAGACATGGGAGTTTTGAGCCCACACGTCTTTCTTAAACAGCCATCCACTTGCCTAGTAGCATTTTAGTCCATGTCCCTTTCCCCCACCAGTACAACAAAAAGGGGTTAAGTGGCACCAGTTATTGAATATTTGTAGTCAACTGTGTTTTAACATGCTTATGTACTTTCATTGTTGTATATTTACTCTGGTTTCAATTCACTTTGGGACTTTTTGTAGTGGGAAGTGATGTGTGTGTGTGTGTGTGTCATAAACCCAAACTTAGTGATTTGTCACATGGTGTTGCTGTGATGATAACTAACATAAATGCAGAAAGCACTTCATCAGATTCACAGTAATAATCATTACTAAAATATATAATAATATCCTCCCACACAGTGTAACTCATAGGTGCCAACTCCCTGGGTGCCTGAGCACCCACAAAATTCCCCATGAAGGGGCCAGGCACCCACAAATTTTGGTGCCAGGGCCAGGCACGCTGCATGGAGCCCATGGCCCCAGTCCAGTTGTCTGAATCTTGCTTATCTCACATTTTTGGTCATCCAGATAAACTATGTCCCAATTCCTACCCCCCTCCTTCCCCGCCATCCATATTGTTACTTTATACGGAAACAACATAAGGATTGTTGAATGTTTTCTACATTTTCCATGCCATTTGTGTATATGATGCTGATCTGCGTTACCCAAATGTTTCTGAAGACATTAGAAGAGTATTGTGTGGAAATAAAGACGCCTAAGATTCCTAAAAACAGAGTTCCTTGGCCAGAATATTGAGGCTTCCAGTCATACATTGTGCTGTGAAGCAATAAATTGGAGACTTCAGAGCTCAGCTAGCTAGTGAAGCATACCTAATACTACTGCCATTCCTGCAAGGTGATTCTGGCATGCTATTACAGACCATGAATGCCAACAGAAAGTGGAATTCAAAGCTCGGGAAAGTTACTCTTCTGCCAATAGCAATTGCAGCAGGGAGGGCCAAGCAATGGGCCTTTACATTACTATCACTTAGATTACTATTATAGACTCAACCTTTCTATCTGGAAACCCTTTTTTTAAAAAATGGGTGCTGGAGTGGATATTATTATTATTATTATTTATTGAGTTTATATGCCACCCTATACCCAGGGGTCACAGAATAAAATTAACATAAAACCTCAAAATACCTAATAAAAATAAAACAATAACCCAATAACCCCCCCCCAAAAAAACCCACATTTTAAAAGGGCATAGTATGTCATTCAAATCAACCTAAGGTCTGGTTGAAAAGGAAAAGGTGTATAATGAAGGCGCCAGGTGAACTGCCCTGGGGAGAGCATTCCATAGATGGGGAGCCACTGCAGAGAAGGCCCGTTCTCGTGTTGCCCCCCCCCCCCATATGGAAGAATATTTCAGTACACCCTGTTTTTAATAGTATATAGGTCATTATTCACCAAATCCCCTTAACCTTTGCTTCGATTGGGGATGGCAAGCTGACCTACCTATTCTGGACCATTCCAACCTCCTGAGCCATCTGACTGTGAGGTCACTTGGAATCCTTGGAGAAATCTTGGAATTTTGGATTCCCACAGGTATGTAGCACTATTAGGAGCACTTTTAGACAGAAGGTGGGTATAGAGTGCTCTCACTCTGCTTCTTTTTACACTAGTTATATTTTTTAATGCTGTGAAAGCAGTGTCAGGGCAGGACTTTGGGGCAGAAGCCAAGAGCTCCACTCAGCAGAAGGAGCAGGAGTACCCCTGTCCCCGATGGGCCTGGCTTACCTCATTTTGAAGTGAAGCAGCGCAAAGAGCAATTGCTCTTTGGCAATGCGATGTGTGATTATTGGTTGTGTTGTCTGCCTTAGAACTCTGTTTTAAATTGTTTTCGGTATGTTCTACAGAGTATACTAGATATAGGATAACAGACATTACAAAAGCAGCATAAGTCTCCAGTGGTCTCGGCTTCTTCGGAAAAAAACGAAGGCTGCAACCCAATATTCACATACTAATAGAGAGTAAGCCACATTGGATGCAGTGAGACTTCTAAATAAGATTGCACTGTAAAACCTGTACCACTCAGGACAGTGGGGAGAGTGAAACACTACCATACAAGTGTATCAGATTTGGCTGGTAGAATCCCAGTGATCCTGCTGTAGTGTTGCTTTACCATATAAACTTTGCTTGTATTTATTAAGTGGGTTTTCATCATGACAGTTGTGTGTACAGGCTTTTTATTAAGTGCTAACCTAAAACACCTGGCTTAAAAAAACCTTTTGCAAGGTATTTGCCAGATATGTGTTTTGAAACTTAGGTCACTTAACATGCCTACCCATTTTCTAAAAAGAGATTACCTTTCAAGTAAATACAAAACAAGTATACATCTGACAGATTCTATGTTGTGTTCTTCAGAGGCCCAAGGACTTCAAAAAGGGTATGTTACTTTCCATTTTTTTGTACAGGAACCACTACCTCCTTCCCTAGCAATCAAATAAGAAGAATATGGTAGGGAGGATTGGCAACACAACACAGGGAGATGTGACTTGATTTGAAATAGAATCACATTTATCTCCCTCTAATTTGGAAACTTACAAATGACCACAGTTACAGCAGTACTGTTTCCCTCCTGCCCTGATGTTATGTTGTTGGTATGCACCAAGTAAGAACACAAATAGTTGCCCACAACAGTTAATTTTTTATGAATAATAAATATTTAAATTGATTCCTAGCCCTGCCCTGTCATCACACCTAAAGTATATGAACCTTGTCTAGTCAGGTTAGATACCTGAGTCCAGCTGCCCATGGGATAACATCACAGAATTGAGAAGTTCTGAAGTACCGGGTCCACAATTAGTATCCTTATAAAACTTCTTTCAAATTTTATGGAGGTAACAAAATGCAATTCACAATTACAGAAGCTAAACAGGACAGGTGCAATTCTACATTTTAGACTTCAAATAGGACATGTAATCAGAATTGACAAGGAAGGATAGATATGTTTATCATGCCATTTGAAACAGGAAAAACCCCAGTATTAAAAATAATAAGGTGTAATAGAGTTGTCCCCAGAAAAACTGTGCGTTTACTGAATGCTTTATAAATATATACATTTTTAAAGATGGGCTCTCCCCCAGTTTTATTTCTTATCAAGAGGAGCAGACTTGATTGAAAAGGTTATTCATATAATGTGGAAGTGGCTTACCAAAAGAAAAAGAATGGGGGGCGGGGCGGGAATACAACCCTCAGCAAAATGCATACAATGAGTTATCCAAGCTCACCAGTCCCTGGATGATAAGGGTGATGTGAATGTTGCAAGCAAGAATACAAACTATTGAGAATGTGCAACGAAGCAGGCTGCTCTTGGACCTGATTGATAGCTTACATCCACTTGCTGGATTCACAGCATCTGCAGGTAAGATTTCATGCTCCATTAACTAATTCTGAGCATGCTGTGTCCCATTTTGCCAGGAACAATTAGGGATGGGCAAGCCCAGCTCAGACAAAATAAGACAAGAAGGACGCCAAACAACCATTCTGTTTTCCAAACTAGCTTGATATTCTGGAGATTTGAAAAGCTATTTGGAGATCCCAAAGATCAGCAGAAAAAGACTAAGCCATTTAAATGCTGCATAACATTTTGCACAAGGACGCATTGATTTGCTGCTGAGCATATACACTCACGAGGAGACCATAACCAATGCTGATTTCTAATGTATGTCCCTTATATGATACATGCACTTTCATGTAACTCAATGCAATTTCATCAAATTCAGAGTTTACCTTTTTAAGTTGGCACTTAAGATATCTTGGGTATATGCTTACAACCATTCAGCTAAAATAATGAGTGCAAATACAAAGCCTTTTTCCTGGGCGATAAATGCCAACCTGCCATGCCATTGTATGTCTCACCTTGTAGTTCTGAAATGATGCAATGTATTGGTAATGCATGGCCCTATATGTTTAGGAAAGAGATGGGGGAAATTTCATGCAGGTGGTGAGTTACTTGTTTTGTTTTATGGTCTTCTGATGTCATATATGCATATGTTGCTGATGGAACTGCAGTGCTTCCCCACTACCACCCTCAGGGCACATCTCAGAAAAGCATGATATTCTCTTAGAGGAAAGCTGCTGGCACTAGGATAGTGGGCAGGGACAGACCTCTCTCTTCCTCCTGTATGCCTTTGCAGCTCCCACCAGCTAACAGGAAACAGGGGTGTAAGTTTTTGTTTGTTTTATGTGAAGGGTGGTATTTTGTTTTATGTATTGATGTGTTAAATTTTGATGGTCGTTGCTTTTAACCATTTTGTAGGTTTTTAAACTTGATGCATAATTTATTTATTTATTAAATTATTTTCTTGTTACAAAATTGTACACACATAAGTTTTTAAAAATGACATGACTAACAAAATTGGCGGGGGGGGTATTATTATTACATATTATTTAACAGGACATAATAATGAAATGATTACAGTAAATCACTAAAATGAGTTCCTCAATAAATAAAAAGTCTACACCTTTTCCTTAATAAAGCACTAGAGCTCCGGTGTTTTTGACATCCTTCTTTGGTATCTCTGCATACAACCACTTCAATAAGCCCTCCTTTCGACCTGCAGTCCAGAACAAAGAACTATAATTTAATTCCAAGCGGACTGTGTTGTTATTTTCAGCCATCCTACCAGGACATTCTGGATGTAAAAAACTTGAGGTCATTAAGAATAGCAATAATACTGCATTGTGGGGATTTTTACATTGAAATACTGATATCAGGGTGAAAGCTGTGACTTACTATCATCATTACACTGAAATACACACATGCTTTGATACTGCAGTAGCATCCAATCATACATATTGGTCAGTTACTTGTAGGTCTTTGGATAACAAGTGTCTAATAAGTCATTATCATCATTGGAGTAGGTGGTAAATGTCTTGTTCAAAGTTATGACCCAAGGGATTGGGAACACATGTTCCATGTAAACATTTCAAATCATTTGCAGAACTCAAAAAGCATTGTGTGGATTTAATGCAGAACATTGTAGCAGATGAACTGGGAGAGGGGTGGCATTTCTCTTTGTAAAAATGTACAACCTACTTTTTGAACTTGGAGGTAATACTGTATCTCAAAGGGGAAACACAAAAAATAGCAATAAAAGTGTTGAATGGCAGCCAACATCTGACTCCCTTTTTATGATACTCAAAAACCAATAATACAATCAAGCTCCTAATCAAGGAAGCAATCAGAAGCTCTAGAACAGTTACATAAAACAAATAATCAAGAGAGCTGTTTATAATCACACTTTAAAACACAGTGAATGGAAACTCGTTGAACAGGAACTGGGAGAAACTGTGAAGGCTTTCAGTAGCTACTGAATTAAGATCGGACAAGCTAATGAAAGTCCTCAGAATACGAGTACCTCTGTGTCCCTGAAGCTTTTGGAACAAACTACAGCAAAATCGTAGAAGACAAAGTTAGAAGCTTTAGTAAAATTTGATAAACTTTCTCTTAGGTACACTAATAATAGCTTCTTCTTTTTCTGATGTTCAGAAGTGAACACTTTTGCTTATGAGGCAAAAATGGCAGGATCCTCGCACTAGAGCAGGGGTCCTCAAACTTTTTAAACGGGACCAGTTCACTGTCCCTCAGACATTGTTGGGGGCCAGACTATAGTTTGTAAAAAATATGAACGAATTCCTATGCACACTGCACATATTTTATTTGTGGTGCACAAAAAACAGGAAAAAGCAATACAATATTTAAAATGAAGAATGATTTAAATCAACATAAACTTATAAGTATTTCAATGAGAAGTATGGCCCTGCTTTTAGCTATTGAGATGGACAATATCTGGTTACATATTTGTCAAAGAGACCTCCCCTGGTCTTACTCAGCTTCATGAAGAAGGGGGAAATACCTCACAATCTGAGGAGACAATTGTCTATGTTGAGTATAACCTTGTTTGATTTCTTGTGATGTTCAGTTTTCTTGTTTGCTACTTCACAAAATACTAATAAACCTCCTCACGGGGGGTGGGGTGGGGGAGAGAGAAATGAGAATGGCGCCTTGGCTGAGGTAAAAGTAAAAGCCGTCCCTCCCAGCGCAGGCTAGGCTAGGCCCGCCCTGGTCTCCCTCACCCGGGAGTGCGGCCACCACAAGCCCAGCCAAGCTCTCCTTTGAGGCAAAAGAAGGGGAAGATGAGTGTGCGTGTGTTTTTTAACCTCCCTTCCCTTCCCTCTCTGAATGGCAGCAAAAGGCTCCTCATGATGGCACCTGTGATGTCACTTACCAGCTTCTTCCTTCCTTTCCTTTCCGCTTCACTCGCTCGCGCCTCTCCCTCCTCTCCTCTCCTCCACGCTGCACGAGTAGCAATTGCCTCACATGGGCGGTCATGTTCCTGACATCAGTTCCGGTCCCAGCAAGCAGTGTGTGTGTGGGGGGGGAGATGGAAACACGTAGACCCGTTAGACAGCAGGCAGGCCGGGTTCAGGAACCTGGTGGGCCAGATGTGGCCCACACACTGTAGTTTGAGGACCCATGCACTAGAGGATCAGCAGCATTGGGCCAACCCCAAGTTTTGCAAAAGTATAAAACCCTAAGGTAGGAGGGGGCAGCCCTATGAGGCCAGCCATCCTCAGTAGCCATGGAATGCTGACTGATTGTTGGCAGTGGGGGGGGGGGGGAGGATAGATTGGATTGAATATTATGGAATAGGGTTAGGGTCTGACTTGAATAGTGCAACACTTTGCTGAACGTGTCTTTTTTGTTTATAGTTTGTTTATTAAATTTATAGACTGCCCTTCTTCCGAAGATCACAGGGAAATGAATAAATTTGCAGCTTTTGCCTTCAACAAACAGTACAATAAGAATTGAAAAATGATATGGTGTTTTGCTATTGTCAGCCTTCAACATCTTTGTAAAAAAATAAGCATGTGTCGCTGTGGAGTAAAGGCTTTTCAGTAGCTTAATGTCTGAATGAATTAAGCTTGAAAGACTGAAAACACATCATTTATACTTGCTGTAAGCAAAAGAATAGCTTTGATAATGTCAGATCTTGTTAATTTTTTTTAAATGTCCCTAATAGTGCACAGACCTTTCATTGGGTAGTTTGTTCCAGTAAAGTGAAGAGCAAATTCTGACTGATGCAGCCAGAATTTGAGCGTTGAGCAAACCTTGGGCATGAAACAACTAACGTGTGGCATTTTAAAGTCCGTTTTATTTTGGTGGGAAAGAGTTAAATGTGTGCCATGTGCCTGAATCAAGACCCAGATTATGTTCAGCTGGTTGCTGGATTGCCATGGGATGCTGATGGGGAAAGAAACAGGAAGCTGGGGAGGGGGATGGAGTGAAGTGGTTGGAATCCTGAACAGAAACACTATATACCGCAGCATTCCCACTTATATTTGCTAATAGTGATCTTTATGGCACCATCATCATGTCAGCAATGAAAAACCCACAAATGTGCAGAAGTATGAAAAAATATTTAGTATATAATTCCCCCCCCCAAAACAACAACTAACCCCCTAAAGGGATGGGAGTTGGGGAAACCCATTTACAGCTGAATGAAGACTGTATTATGGGGCCAAAGAATGATGACTGAATGGGGAGCAGGGGGAGCCTGGCAATAGAAAACCAGGTTAGGATGGACTTCTTGAACAGAATCACTCTTCATGGTGCATCATTTCTTGCAACCCCCACTTGGGTTAACCAGATTCACTGAGACGTATTTATGTATATTGCAGTGGAGAAAGCATGCAGCAAGTTGAACCAGGAGAGCTTTGCCATGTCCCTTCCAATGAACAAGAGCTCAAGGCTTGTTTGAAATGAGGTCATATTCCTGATCATCTTGGCAAAGCATCTTTGAGAGACCTGTTCTCAATGAACCTTTCACACTGCTTTTAAATCCAACCGTAACACTACTCCTCACAATATCCGCTGGCAATGAATGCTAGAATAAACAAACCTCCTTCCTTTTATTTCCTTGAAATCTGCTGCCAGTCAATTTCATCCTTGCTTTTGTACTTTGGAGAAGAGTGAGTAATTGCTCTTTAGTCACTCTCATCACCCCTTTCCTTTTTGTGTAGGCAATGCTCACATCCTCATTTGAGGTACATTTCCAGGCAGTCACAGTACTAGCTTGAGAAAAAGGCAATGAAACCAGCTGCCATGTTTTAGGTCGTATAGCGTGCATAACCACAGAAAATGGGGTGAAGGTAAACTCAAGCAAATTCCCTTCCTCCCCTGCATGTATGCACACCGTTCAAAGGAGGAAGCCTCACCATGACACTAGAACTTGTGGAAGCTGAATCTTGGAAGATTCGGGACAGATAAAAGAAAATACTTCTTAACGCAGCACATAGTTAAACTGGAAAAACGCCCCCCCCCCCCCGCAGGAAGCAGTGATTGCCATCAAGTTGGATGGCTTTAAAAGAGAATAGGGCAAATTCATGGAGGAGAGGACTATCAATGGTTACTAGCCATGGTGGCTGTGCTCTGCCTCCATGGCTGGAGGCAGCAATGCTTCTGGATACCAGTTGCTAGAAACCACAAGAGGGGAGTGTGCTGTCGTGTTCAGGCCCTGCTTGTCTGTTCCCCACAGGCAACTGGGTGGACCCATTTAAAAGTGTTGTTGGGAACATGGTGGCATGGTCTAGTGGCCATAGGCCAGGGCACCGGGGTAGCTACTGCCTCACTCTATCCCCAGATCTCAGAGATATTCATCTCAATCATCCACAGTCTCACAGGATATGCACTGATTCTCAGGCTTTTGAGCTTTTGGATCTATAACCTATAACCTTTGCATTCCATGACATGGGCTCCTCAGGAAAGAACTAGTCAAGAATCAGCTTCGATATTAGATGAATAGCTAGCTCAGTTGTCTATATTTAAAGAAATAGGGCAACTGGCTGCCTATCGAGCAGCCTTTTAACATTTATAAGGACAACTGATCGATTTATAATATACTGAGATGGCTTATTGATTTTTTTGAGATGAGCTTTGTAATAGGATCCATAACGTTTACATCTTTGGGTCACTGACTGAACTGGAGGTCAGTCATGATCAAATGCTATCCTCTTAGGACTTTAAAGCGCTGTAGCCAGAAAATACCCAGGACTGGAAGCATTGCTCCATAGGAAGCAGACCATAACTTACAACTTTGACTTCATATGGAGTGCCAGCCAACCAGGTTGTGCTTGGATGAAGGCTTGGAAGTCTGGAATGGGTCATGTTTACAGTCAGCTTCATAAACTGTGAAAAAGAGTCGGTGGGTGCAAAGTTTTTGTGTGCAGGCTCTCTGGAAAACCAGGGGTCCCTAAAAAGGCTGGGTTTCTGCCCAAGCATGCACAGTCTGCATGTTTATATTTTGTACATGTGTAGGGTTATGACCAAAACGTAGGAGCATGACCAGTGGTCACCAGCTGGCTCAGTTTCTCTCCATCTTCTGTCTTCATTCCATGGAACATGGACATTGCTAAAGATGACGAATCAAGTGGGTGAAGAGATGAGTCTTGAAAAAGTAGCCATTAAGAAAGTAGCCATGGTTGGCATCTATGGTAAATGTGCGATCCTCCAAAGGCCTGACATCAGCATTTAGTTTACAGGGGCAATCTCTGGAGAGGATGTTTCCTTGCAGGACTCACTAAGGCAGATGCCTGGCCTGCCCACCCCCAGCACCCAGCACCCTGTCATGAACACATCTGCCCCAAACAGAGAAGCACAGCGTGAGTTAGGAAGCAGTCAGACAGCCGGGAGCAGTCCTCCTCCTCCCCTCTCTGACACAGAATGGAATGTTGATAAGGAGTTAGCAGAGAGCGGGATGGAGAGAAGCCAATTCACTCAAGAAGCACAGGCAGGCTCGGAAAGCAGGAGGGGTAGCATTTCCTCACCGGAAGAGGAGGCAATTAATCCCCTGAGCCCAAGGAGCAGACATATGGGAAATGTATTAGACAGGAAACAAACCCAGAAACATAAGGGCCATTGGTTCAGGATATTCTACAGAACCAGGAAGCACTCCTCAGAAGGGTCAACTGAATCATAAGGTACAGACGTACAGATAGAGCGTCCGAGACTGATTGTTTGTTTTGCAATAAATCTTCAAGCTAATTACGACTTGCGTGCTGTGTTATCTAGACAGCAGCCTGGGCTCCTGACACACCCCTTGGGCATCACTGGTGACACTGCTGCAGCTGCCAGCCTTGCCCTCATACTTGCAAGTGGGCTTTCTGAACAGAGGCAGGTCTGTAATTCTCCTTAGCCAATGATGCCATTAATTTTGCTAACAAATATGATAAAGGAATAAGAAATGTGGTAAAGGGGCAATGCTATTAATAGGTAAGCATTGTCTTATGTTAGCAAGTTTACTGCTGCTGCGCATGTGTGCAGATCTGAAATATGAAGAGTAAAGTGGATAGGTGGATTGTAAAGTAGTTTGTGGAAGGAAAATTTTCTGACCATTCCTCCTCCCTGCATAGCTTTCTGGAGTATAAGGGGACTCATTTGAACAAAGTAGGACGGGGCATGCAGCGATGGGGGGGGGCTGGGTAAGGGGGAATCATGGTTGGACAGAAATGGCAAAAGGGAGGATTAGGAGAACATTTTTTTTCCTAGCTTTCTTTATGTGAAATTCCTTCTTTTCACCTATCTTGCAATCGAAGCAAAAGATTTCACAATTACTATTGGCTTTAATTTATATGAGGAAACAAGTTTCCCCACACCAATGTGTTATTAGTACTAGCTTTGGTTTGATAAAACACCATAGATTCTATACAAGAGAACATGAAGTGATAGCCTTGTCAGTTAGTTATCTACACTTGTGTCTTTTATTTGCTGGTGTCCTCATTTGTTCCTTTATTCAGACTCATAACCGCTCATTTGCGTCTGGCTTCTGCATTTGTCCTGGAGCTGTTGATGACTTCTCCTCATTCCTGGACATTTGCAGCATTCATCCATCAAAAGCATAATGTGGATAAGGATGAAAACCCAAGATCTAATTTTGTTCTCATCAAAATCATTGGCAAAATTCGATTAATTTAAGGAAAACATATTGGTGTAGTTCATGATAATTGTTTCACAATGCAAGATACCTGTTTCACCATTTCGGATGTTTGGACCTTGTTTTAATTGGATTGATTTACCAGGGTACCTCACCTCACTTTATAGGCTGGGAATTGCCAAACCGGTGATTGTGGATGTCCTGAGTGGGTCACCCTCAATATGCTGTTGGTTTTTTTTATTTTAAGGGCAGAGCAGTTTCTAGAGCCTGAAGGGCCTGCCCCCTTGCCTTCTGGTCAGTTTTAAATGATATTTGGGGAGAGGGGGGAAGTGGCCCTTCATGTTTGCTTGCTTATTGCTTGCCAACCATGTGGAGCTGGCAGTGGGCACTTGCTTCACCTCATGAAGGGATTCTGTTTGTGGGGGACGGAGAGAGAGGTCTTTGTGGTGAGGAGGGAGAGGGAAACAGGGATGTATGGTTTCTGTGAGAGAGAGAGGGGTGAGGGAGGGGAGGTGTGCATGTATGTGTGGTCTGTGAAAGAAATGTATGTGTGTATAATAGAGGGGGAAGGTATGTCTGTGTAGTATTTGTATTTGTGTGTATGAGCTGTGTGAGAGAGGTGGCATCTCTTGGTTCTCTAAGTTCTTAATGAGGACTTTATAGGGCGAGAGAAACTCCATTAGTGAGGTGTCCTGTTGATTTGGTGCCAGTGTGGTACCCTAGCTGATAGGTTCTTTTCCCCCATAGGAGCCAACTCCTAGGGGTCGAGGTCCCATTGGCCCTCCCAATAAAACATTTGTTGTTTTTTTATAAGATATTTATTGAAATTTTCAAAATATTACAAAATAAAAATAGAAAAAAGAAAAATACAAAATAAAAATAGTTAAAAACAGCTCAATCTTTCCATTACTTATTTTTCGTTAGCTTGTTTCCAGGACCTCCTCACGCCTCCCTTTTTTGTATTCCAGTTCAGTTTATTGGTTCAGCAAATCCTTCCCCTCTTTGTTTATCCTAGTCTTTAATCTTAAAATATTGTAACGTTAGATTTTTACCTGTTAGTAATCCATTTTTCATATTCCCTTATAGTATTACAGCTAGAAACCACCTACTTTCTATCCAACATCATTCTAACATTCATTAATTTTACAATATTTCTGTAAATAGTCTTTAAATTTCTTCCAATCCTCTTCCACCGACTCTTCTCCCTGGTCTCGGATTCTGCCAGTCATTTCCGCCAGTTCCATATAGTCCATCCTCCCAATAAAAGATTTGAGGGGGCTGGCCACCCCCAAAGTTGGTGAACATTGCCATTCAGATGGTGTGCATGCGCTGCCCTTTGTGATCCGTTATGCAGGGCAGGACATACCTGCCCACCCCACTCCCAATATTTTGATCAAGTTGGCACCCTTGCTTCCTCCACAAGGGGCTGCTTTGTTGACAGGATTATTACGGCTAACTTATTATGGTGTTACGCTAAGCTATTCCAGGACAAACCTTCCTCTCCTTAAGGAGATTGTTTGGCCAGGATGTGTCATTTATAATTTCTCATTGTGAGAAAGTGACACACCTTTCCCTGCTCAAACTAAGGAGGTGATACAAGGCCGTTGTCTGTGGGAAGAAACAGAGAGAGGCAGAGAGTTAGCTGAAGGCTGAAAGTGTCTTGGGATGCTGGTTTCTTTTTCTTGGAATCTGGTGTGGCACAGTGGATCTGCAACATGTGACGAGTGGGAAGGAGGTTTCCTCTCCATCTTGTAAACAAATAAAATGTGACCAGAAAGCACAGCAGCAGTCTTTGGTGATAATTTATCCAAAAGAAAGTCAAACCTAGGTCTTGGTGCTTCTGGAAGATCTCACTGCTAGAAGAAGCTTGTCTTTTTCTAAATATTCTTTGCAATTGAATTACATTATATATTCACAAAGGAGAGGGCCTTTTCTGTGGTGGCTCCCTGACTCTGGA